AACCTGGACAATTTAGCAAGGCCTGGTCTCAAAGTAAAAGAGAAAGGGCTGGGGATGTAACTAGTGGTAGAGTAGTGCCTAGCATCTGTGAATTCTTGAGTTCATTCCACAGTACCACGAGAGAGAGAGAGAGAGAGAGAGAGAGAGAGAGAGAGAGAGGAGAGAGAGGAGAGAGAGGAGAGAGAGGAGAGAGAGGAGAGAGGAAAGAGAGGAAAGAGAGGAAAGAAAGAGAGGAAAGAGAGGAAAGAGAGGAAAGAAAGAGAGGAAAGAGAGGAAAGAGAGGAAAGAGAGGAAAGAGAGGAAAGAGAGGAAAGAAGAAAGAAAGGAAGGAAGGAAGGAAGGAAGGAAAGGAAGGAAGGAAGGAAGAAAGAAAGAAAAAGAAAGAAAGAAGAAAGAAAGAAAAGAAAAGAAAGAAAAGAAAAAAGAAAAGAAAAGAAAAGAAAAGAAAAGAAAAGAAAAGAAAAGAAAAGAAAAGGTCAAGTCAGGCGTGGGGGCACATGTATGTAACGCCAGCACTCAGGAAGCTGAGGCACAGCCAGACCCTGTCTCAAAAAAATAAAAAAGTTGAAATCATCAGTGTGACCTAAGAAATGTTTAACTTGAATTCACTCTCCCTCTTCTCTGATCTTCATGGATCCAGGGACATTTCCTGGACTATCTCCCTGGTTCCCAGGGGTCCGTACCCCATCCTTTGGAGAAACTGCTGCTCCCTGGAGCTTCAACTCAAAAGCTCCTTCTTCCTCTCTCCAAGCATCCTCAGGACACAACCCACTTCTCCTCCTGCTCCTCCTCCCCACTACCCCAGGTCTCACCAGCCCAGACTCAACTGCAACGGCTCCTAACAGGGATTTTTTGTTGTTGCTGTTTTAAGACAAGGATCTTGTTATGTTCCCCAGGCTGGTCTCAAACTCCTGGGCTCAAGCTGTCCTCCCGCCTCAGCCTCCCAGAGTGCATGGATTCCATTTTGACAATGTGGTTGAAATGTGTCTGGCCCAGGAACTACGATGTATCAAACCTGGAAAACAAAAAAACATAACTAAAGAAACTACCCAGGCATAACAGTACACATGTAATCCCAACACTCTGAGATGCTGAGTCAGGAGGATCACAAGTTTGAACCCAGCTTGGGAAACAATTTAGAGAAATCTTGTCTCAAAGAACAATTTTTTTTTAAAGGGCTGGGGGCCAGCAGTGGTGGCGCACACTAATCTCCACACTCAACAGGCTGAGGCAGGAGGATTGTTGCAAGTTCAAGGCCAGCCTGGGCTACAAAGTGAGCTCAAGGACAGCCTGAACTGCATAGGGAGACCCTGTCCTAAAAAAAAAAAAAGGGCAGGGGGCTGGGAATGTAACTTGGTATGAAGGCCTTGGTTTCAATGGAGGAACTCGAAGAAACTGAAAAGGATTTGATGCCAAGAAAACCCTGCACTCTGGATACACTGGTTCGACATCATATAGGGGTCCTTTTCCCTCTGAGCCCAAAGCTTTCATTCCCTTCTCCAGCACCAACAGTCTTCTTCTCTAGACCCTGTGTTGCCTCAGAGCAAAAATGGGGCCATAAATTAAGAACTAGTCTTTAGGGTTCCAACAGCCTCACCTCTTGTGATATCATCCTTCTGCCGGGAAGGGCCTCAAACTGGGATTATGATACTAGCTTAGTAAACTGGACTTTTAATTAGTCGTCTCTCTCTCTTATTTGTTGGGTTTCTATTACCTTTGGTAGAAAGAAAAAATGAAGCCAGGTATGGTGTCTCATACCTGCAGTGGGCTCAGTGGACTAAAACCAGGAGGATAGGCCAGGCGTGGTAGCACATGCCTGTAATCCCAGCACTCGGGAGGCTGAGACAGGAGGGTCGTTCCACGTTTGAGACCGGCCTGGGCTATGAAATGAGCTCAAGGCCAGCCTGAATTGTATAGGAAGACCCTGTCTCAAAAAAAAGCAAGCAAACAAACAAACAGCCCAGTAGGGCCAGGGATAGAATTCAGCAGCATGGCGCCTGCCTGGCAAGTACAAGGTCCCGAGTTCGATTCCCAGGACAAAAAAAAAAACAAAAAAACAAAAAAAAACCCCGCCAGGTATGACAGTCTATGCTTATAAGTTCAGGTACTTGGGATTACAAAGTCAAGCCCAGCCTTGGCAATTTAGCAATACGTTCTCTCAAAAGGAAAAGGGTAGGGATGAGCTCAGTATGATGGCCTTAGGCTTAATCCCCAGTACTACGGCAAGCTGGGAGAGAGTCCATTCTGGAATCAGATAGTGAGGACCATTGCACAATCTTGAAGTTGGCTCTAGTGGCACACACCTGCTATCCCAGCACTGAGGGAGGCTGAGACAGGAGGACTGCAAATTTGAGAACTGCCTAGTCAACTTAGCAAGACTCTGACTCAAAATTTTAAAATAAGAAGAGTTGAAGATTTAACTCAAAGGTAGGGTGCAATCCCCACCACTGAAAAATAAAAAATAAAAAGGGCTGGAAAAAAAAGGATTGGTAGGGCCAGGGATATAGCTCAGAGGTGCAAGTGCCTGCCTGCCAAGCGCAAGGTCCTGAGTTCAATTCCTGGTACCAAAAACAAAAAATAAACAAACAAAAAAAAGGGCTGGAGATGTAGCTCAGTGAGAAGGCCTGGGGCTCAATAACACCTCTCCCCCGCAAAAAATCCCATGGAATTGTACACTTTAAAGTGTGAGTAGCTGGGCATGGTGGCACACGCCTGTAATCCCAGCACTCAGGAGGCTGAGGCAGGAAGATCATTGCGAGTTCAAGACCAGCCTGGGCTACAAAGTGAGCTCAAGGCCAGCCTGAGCTGCATAGTGAGACCCTGTCTCAAAAAGACAAAAAAAAAAAAAAAAAAAGTGAGTACCCAGGCATGGTGGCACACACCTGTAATCCCAGTAGTTGGGAGGCTGAGGCAGGAGGATCACTGCAAGTTCGAGACTAGCATGGGCTACAGAGTGAGCTCAAGTGAGCTCAAGGCCAGCCTGAACTGCATAAGGAGAACCTGTCTCAAAAAGACAAAAAAATAAAAAATCAAAGTGTGAGCAGCCAGGGATACAGCTCAGCAGCACAGCACCTGCCTGGCAAGTGCAAGGTCCTGAGATAGACTCCAGGTACCAAAAAAAGTGTGAGTTTTGTGGTACGTGAATTAAATTTCAACAAGAAATGTATTTGGGGGGAAGGGTGAGGGAGGGTCTCACTACGTAATTCAAACTGGCCTTGAACTCACTAAGTAGCCCAGGTTGGTTTCAACCTCACAGCAATCCTCCTGCCTCAGCCTCCCAAGTGCTGGAATTATAAGCATGTGGCATCATGCCAGTGCTCCATAAATAAAATATAAATTTTGAAGCCAGGAGTGGTGGCACAAACCTCACTTGGGAGGCTGAGGCAGGAGGATTGTTGCAAGTTCAAGACCAGCCTGGGCTACAAAGTGAATTCAAGACCAGCCTGAACTGCATAATGAGACACTGTCTCAAAAAGACCAAAAATAAAATAAAACTTGATCATCCTAAAATGAAGGACCTTGATCTCACTCAGGGCAAGCAAGACTCCTCTCTCCCTTCTCAAGAGACACCCAAGATGCAATGAAAGGCAGGCCTGGCTGGTAGGTGGCCCACATCCTTCAAAGAACAGAGGGGCTTTTCAGACAACACTCCCTAAGACCAAGGTATGGGACCTTCCAACACACACACCCTACTGCAATCTGGCAACACAGCCAGGATACCCCAGACCTCTTCTGCAGGGAGCTGGAGCATTCCAGACCTTCCATCCCACCGCTGGCCTGCAGCTGGGCCACATACCCTTATGTGCCAATCAAGGAATCACCAGGGCCAATTCTGGACCAAATTCAAAACTCGCTTCAAATGATGAGGAGCTGTCATCAAATCCCAGCCATTTCCACACACCCAAGCCCCATCTATTCAAGAAAACCTTGAACTTCTCAGGGCTTGAACCCAAGCAAGCTCCTAAGACTCAGACATTCACCCACCGCTCTGAGTCCTGCAAGGTGATGGATACAAACCCACGTACACATACAGGTGGGCAGGAAGCAACAGGAAGGAAGCCACTACTCAGAGTGCAGATCCCCACTTCTACGTCCTTGTCGGGCAAGAGAGAATCCCATGCACCCACTAACGGGACGCGGTGGGTTGCCCCATCGTCCCCCGATCAGTGCACCGTTTCGAGAAGGACTTGCAAGGTAATCACAAGTACCCAGGTAAAATGGCTTTTCCTCCATCCCCTCCACCAAGTCATATAATAAGCAAGCTCCAGAGGGGAGGGGAGTAGAGGCGACTAAAACTGAGCCCTCGGAGACAGAGAAGAAGGTGGGGAGTGGCACAGAACGGCAGGGTACCAGAGCCCAGGCACAGGGACCCCGGGAGAGAGAGCTCTAGCAGGCCCGGAGCAACCCGAAACTCAGAGGGCGGAGAGGGGAGCCGCTCTGGCGATCAGAAGCGTGGGGCTGGGAACGCGATGCGAGGCCGGGTGACGGCCTGGGAGCCGGACGCGACGGGGCCAGGATGGGGCCAGGAGCACGGCAAGGGTCGAGAGAGCAGGTACAGAAGGGAGTGGTCAGGGTCGGAATGGGAAGTACCGAGGGGGGCCCAGGCCGCCGAAGCAGCAGCAGAGCACAGAGAGGCGCGGGCCGTACCTCTCCGGAGCTGGCCATGTCACAGGCGGGCTGTGCCACGGCCGCCGGAGCCGCAGCCCCGGGGGCCCTCGCCGCCGCGCCAGGGATGCTCGAAGCCGGCGCGTCGGCGGCTCAATAGGGACCCCGGCCAGGGGCGGGGCTTCCCATCACTTCCGGCGCCCTCTGACACGCAGTTCCTCTAGTCGGCGAACGGGCTCCTCGCGTCGCCATGTTAGGTGTGGCACGGTCTGGAGCTTAACCTGGACGCGGAGCGGCGATTCCTCTGTGCTGGCTCTGAAAGTGTTCTGGCTGCCGTCTACAAGCCCCCTAACAGTCATCCTGGCCTGCACCTCCAGCCCCAACGCGTCTCTGCCGCCAGGCCTTTGCATCTGCCTTTTCCACTGCCTGCTGTATACCCAAACCACCTGTCAGACCAGCCGAGCACCGCCCGTAAAATAGCACGACCCCTCCCCAGCCTTCACACCTGACCTGAACGCGCCCCTCATCCTGTGTGATGTTCTCTATAGCTGTTTTGTGGTTGGTTGATTGGTTGGTTGGTTTTACTGAGGATTGAACCCAGGGACTTTGCACGGAGCTACATCCCCAACTTTTATATTTTGGGGGCCAGGGTCTTGTTAAATCACTATTGCCCACGGCGGTTTGTGCCTTAGTTACTTTTCCTCCTGTTGCTGAGACAAAATACCCAATATCTGAAAGGGGAAAGGGTTTATTTTTTTGAGGGGGGCGCGGGGGAGACGTTTATTTAGCTCATATTTAGCTCACAGTTTATACAGGTTTCAGTCCATAGTTGGCTGGCTCCAAGGCGGAGTAGCAGAGGAGAACAGTTTATGGCGCCCACAAAAAGCAACAAGAGGCCTTAGTGTCTTTCTGGCCCTCTTATACTCTATCTAGGCTTCGGGGATCCGGGCGGTGCCAAACCATTCAGTGGACCGATTTAGTAATCGCACGCCCTTAATCCCAGCATTCCACCAAGTATCAATCACACACATTTTAGATCCAGCCACCACTGAAAAAGCCCCACCTATGACTGCATGAGGCTTGGGGGAGGGGATATCTAGACACAAGCCATACAGTTCGATTCGCAATTCCCCTGCCTCTACCTGCCAGCGTATCGGGATTACAGGCATGCACCACCAAGCCCAAGTGACCTGTGGTATCTTTCTTTTTATTTTTTTGGTCTTCGACAACCCCCGAAAACTAGGAACAGACAGGATTATTGGAACTAACCTTGGTGTGCAGTAGGCTTTGAATAGATAGTATTTGCTGAGTAAGTGATGTATGAAAGTTACGCTTTTACTCTAAGGCATTTCCTTTTTGTTGTTACTGTTTTTCTTCTGGTACTGGGAATCGAACTCACGACCTTGAGCTTGCTAGGCAGGCAGTATTCCGCTGAACTAAATCCCCAGCCCGGCATTTTCATTTTTGAATAGTTTACTAATAAACAGCTGAGTTTAGTGGTCCATGCCTGTAATCTCAGCACTCAGAAGGTTGAGCCAGGAGGATCGCTATGAGCTCAAAGCCAGCCTGAGCAACATAGTAAGTTCATAGTGAGCCAGCCTGGACTATGTAGCAAGATCCTATCTCAAAAAAGAAAGAAAAAAGTTTACGAATGAAAATTTTGCCTGTGTGGTGGTGCACGCCTGTAATCCTAGCACTTGGGAGGCTGAGGGACGATTGTTGCAAGTTCAAGGCCAGCCTGAGCTACATAGTGAGTTCAAGGTCAGCCTGAACTGCATAGTGAGACCCTGTCTAAAAAAAAAAAAAAAAAAAGTAAAAAGTTTAAAAGGGGTTAGGGATGCCAGGTGTGGTGGCACACACCTATGATCCCAGCACTGGGGAAGCTGAGGCAAGAGGATCACTGTGAGTTCAAGGCCAGCCTGGGCTACATAGGGAGAACTTGTCTTCCCCCCAAAAAGGAAGGGAAGACTGGGAATGTAGGTCAGTGTGAATCCCTGGGTTCAAACCTCAATACTGCAAACAGAAGTCTTTGGGGGACACTATTCAGTCCAGTATGTGGCCTCAGAACCCCTGCAGCCCTCTTTCCCCTCCCACTGCCTAGGGTTGAGCAGCTGAGCACATAAAATTCTCCATGAGCATCAGGTGGAGATCAGAACAGGGCGGGGAGCAGGCACAGCCTTGCCATCAAAGATCTCAGCGGTAGAGTTCTTGCTTTGCATGCACAAGGCCCTGGGTTCAATCCTCAGCACCACAAACACAAAGATCTCAGTGGTAGAGCGTGCCTCGAGTGCACAGGTACTGGGTAACCTAACCCTGAAAAAAAGTGTTTCAGTGCGGCAGAGCAGGGCTGTAGTCCCAGCCACCAGGAGGCTGAGGCAGGAATGTTCCAGGAATTTTAGGGCAAAAGCCCCAACTCCAGGAATCCCAACAGACCAGTTTCAGCCGCCTGCCCCATGATGGCAGTCAAGGGGGATAGGAGCAGGATGAAGGGCAGGGCAGAGCTTTGCTGAGCACAGCCACACCCGGGAGGGACAGATAAAGAGGTTGAAGATCTACCTCCTGTCTCAGAGAGCCCACAGAAGCTTTGGGTTGAAAACTAAAGCACGGGGCGGGGTGTGTGGCTGGCAGTGTCGATAACCCTGGTCAACAGTCAACACCCAACCTCCTGGTGAGCCTGTATCTCAGGACTGATCTGGAGAGGTGACATTGCCTGAGGGGATAACATGGTTCCCTCCTTGGGATGGTAGCTCCTGCTTTGGGATCCTCCCGGGTTTGCCATGGGGTGACCTGGGAGGTCTGCAAGGCGCTGCTTTTCCAGGTATGAGTGGAGGCTGCAGGGTTAAGGTGATAACTGGAGACCAAGAAATTGCTCAGGGGTGGGCAGAGTGCTGGATGGCTTTGGAACCCAACACTGTAAAAAGCGTGTTGGTGGAATTCCTTTTGTTGCTCTCAGTCTTGCTGTCCTCAGTCTTAACTCTGGGCTAATGAGCCTTGTGGGCCAGACACTCCTCGAGTGATTAACAAGCATGCACCTCGATACAGTTATAAAAACCCAAACCAAAACAAACAAACAAACAAAAAGAAGCATGCAGGGAGAGTGGAGAGGGATCTGACCCAGAGTTTTGAGGTTGTAAAAAAAAAAAAAAAAGAAAGAAAGAAAGAAAAAACGGGCCTGGTGGTGCATACCTGTAATCCCAGCACTGTGGAGGCTGAGGCAGGAGGATCACCTTGAGTTTAAGCCAGCGCTGGCTACATATTGAATTCAAAGCCAACCTCAAAGCCAGGTGAGGTGGTACACACCTGCAATCCCAGCACTCAGGAGGCTGAGGCAGGAAGATTGCTATAAGTTCGAGACCAGCCTGGGCTACGAAGTGAGCTCAAAGCCAGCCTGAACTGCATAACGAGATCCTGTCTCAAAAAGACGAAAAATGGGATGGGGATGTAGCTCAGCGGTACAAGTGCCTGCCGGGCAAGTGCAAGGTCCTGAGTTAAATTCCTGGTACCAAAAAAAATTAAAATTAAAATTAAAAAAGACAAAAAAAAATGGAGCTCAGTTTTTCTTTTCCTTTTTTTTTTTTTGTTTTGTTTTGTTTTTTTTCCGGTACCAGGAATTGAACTCACAACCTCACGCTTGCCAGGCAGGTGCTGTGCCGCTTAGCTAAATCCCCAGCCCCTTTTCCTTTCTTTTCTATCCTTTGTTTTTTGTTTTTGCACTGGAGCCCAATTCAGACCCAGACAACCATCAGGGAGCTCAGAGTCCCCCTGGGGTCCTGCTGCCCCTGCCTGGCCTCTCCTGCCTGTTGCCCTCCCCTCTAGCTGCCCTGGCCCTTTTTGGATAAGACTGTAGTGAGACACCCGGCTTGCTCCTGGCTCTAGTCACACCTCCTCCCACTGAAGGCCTGGGGCTTCTCTTTCCCAGCCTCCTGGACCCAGGCCACCTATAATTGCATGTGGCTTTCACCATGGGAGACTGACACGCTTATTTTCCTTCCCCTCCCCCCGAAGCAGTAGTTGGCAGTAGCTGATCCTTGGTAAATGGTGGGCGAATCGATGTGGATGGAATGAGATACTGCATCTCAGTGTCTGGTGCAGACAGATGGGCAGTTCTGTTCACAGGAGCTGGGGCCACGACCGCTGTCAGCAGCACCACAGTCACTACACAGGTGGCCCCAATTCATCCCACATTTGGACCAGGTGTGATGGTGCACCATCAATGCTCTGAGGCTGAGCCAGGAGGATCACAAGTTTGAACCCAGCCTTGGTAATTTAGTGGGGTAAAGCAACCGTGTTTCAAAATAACAAAGAATTGTGGATGCAGCTCAGTGCAAAGGCCCTGAATTCAATCCTCAGCCCTGCAGTATAATAATAATAATAATGCCCGGCATGGCGGTGCACACCTGTAATCCCAGAACTCGGGAGGCTGAGGCAGAAGGATCGTTGCGAGTTCTAGGCCAGCCTAGGCTACAAAATGAGCTCAAGATCAGCTGGAACTGCATAGTGAGACACTGTCTCAAAAAAGACAAAAAAAGGGGCTGAGGATTTAGCTCAGCGGCATAGTACCTGCCTGGCAAGTGCAAGGTCATGAGTTCAATTCCTGGTACCGGAAAAAAAAAAAAATAATAATAATAATAGTAATGACAGGAGCGGCTGGGGGGCAGCTCTAGATTAGGCTGCTTGGGCTGGGGATGTAGCTCAGTGGCATAAGTGCCTGCCTGGCAAGTGCCAGGTCCTGAGTTCGATTCCTGGTACCAAAAAAAAAAAATAGATTAGACTGCTTGCCTACCATTTGAGAAGCTCTAGGTTTAATCCCCAGCACCACCACCAAATATATCTCCTGTGAACAGAACTCATTCATAGGTGGGGCTTTCAGGGGTGACTGGATCTTGGGGTGTGATACTCAACAGTGGACTAACTAAACATGATGTAGGGAGGCAAAGCCTGGGGAGACACAGGGGCGTGGCCTGGAAGGGTCTGTCTCCCTCTCTCCTCCCTTGATTGTTCTCTGGTTCCACCCACATACCTTGAGCTCTTTTTCCTTTGCTACGCCACCCTGCCTTGGAGCCAGCTGACTATGGACTGCAACCTCTGCTAACTATAAGACAGAACAAACCTTTCCTCCTTAGCACTGCAGATGTCAGCTATCGTGTCTCACCAATGGGAGGGTATGATATATATA